CGAGGGTGCAAATGCTTATTCATTTCAATCTCTTGGCGATGGGTATGGCAAAGATAGCTTTACTGTTTATTATGCAGGTAAAAAAATCGATGGTGCAAATGCTTATTCATTTCAATCACTTGGTGGTGGCTATGCGAAGGACAACTGGAATGTATATTCGATGGGTGTGAAAATGCCTGGCGTGTCTCCTAATTCGTTCAATTAGAATGATATGAAATGAAAGAGAACATGCTGAAATGTTTTCTTGGACATGTATTCACCTCTTCAGACATATTATACGCACCGTTCTTATACTAACTCAATAAAAATAAATCTACTCATATAATCTGAATAGTAATTTTCAATTTGTAAAATAATTTATTTGTTTTCGACACATTGTGCTGATTCAACGTGAAAATAACAATGATCGATTGATTTAAAGTCAAAATGAAACAGCATGGCGATATAATGATTCAATTTTCGACAATCAAGAATTTCGGAAACAGCAAAATATGAGAGAATGAACACTATTAAGTACCTGTATACCAAAATATTCGAAGGGTGTGGTGTGAGTGTAGTCGTTGGAGTGTACTATTTCGTTTTAGCCAACTCCACACCCACACCTACTCTAGGTGGGATAGATTTTCGGAAGAGAATGCTTGTGTTAAAAAGACCCTTTTGTCAAGATTCACTGCTCGTTTAGCATGAGGTGAGAGAAGAGGTCTGATTTCGAATGTTGTTGGATGGTGTAGATTTTTTCGTTTTTCTCTTCTTGGGTGAAGCTTTTCTTTCTATTTATTTGGATTTTGCGTATTGAGCAATGTTATTCTTTCAAGCTTGCATACTTGAAAATAAAAAATTCATATATTCGTGTTATTTTATGTTTTCGAATATTATTTTTTAGGGCTAGAAATTGAAGAGTTATGGTATGGAGTAGTGAATGACGACGAAATATTTGAAGAAACAACATCAATCTTCTTTACGAGATCTCTTCCTTTACCTTGATGAATAAATAGAAACCTTGCATATTTTGTTGTCTTCGTTGTGAATCGGACGTCTCTGCAAATATAACCACTTCACCAATTACGAGAAAGGGTGTGGGTGTGGGTGTGGCTGGGTGTCGTTGAGAAGAAGGTTCACACCCACACCCACACCCACCCACACCCACACCCACCCACACCCACACCCACACCCACCCACACCCACACCCACCCACACCCACACCCACACCCACACCCACCCACACCCAC